ACTATGAGTCAGAACCAGCTTGATGGCACTTAACAATGACAAAGGTGCTGTAGTATAATCTGCTAGTATCACCATATCAATATGATTTTCATGCAACTAGTTTTTAAAAAAAACTCTATTGTGAACTGAATTAACGTTTACAGAGCAGATCATCAGTTTTAAATTCAACAAATCATATTCTTTGTTTCAGTTCAATGACGCCAATCCCCTCCTTGGAACAACAGTTCTCCCAGTTACTCCCTGTGCTTCCTGGTTCCATTCCTTAGGGAAATGTTGCCCTTTGACCTTGAATGGTCGACTTTTCCATGGTGAACAGACCTTACTAGTGTTGTCCCCCCTAGATACCTATCTGTTGCTTGACTGGAAATTAGACCACAAGGGTGAGTTCTTTTACAGACCAGAAGGGTGGTTGAGGGTTCATAGCACTACATCTGTATGCAATGTTTCTAATTCATAAAGATGAAGGTTGGTTTGATATACTGATAATAAAAGGCAATTATCAAAAAAAAAAAATGTGGTCGTAATCGAACCCCATTGTAAACTGAGACTACCTGTATGCTTAAAGAGCTCTAGTTGTGACGGTGTTGGATAAGCACAGGACTTGCTAACCTCACAGTTGACAGTTCAAACCTACTAGCCACTCCACGGGAGAAGCATGAGGCATTCTGCTCCCGTAAGATTTGTTGTTGTTATTGTCAAGCATGGTCAAGTTGGTATAACTGTCTGAATCTGAAGAAATGGCCTCATCCCCCCCAACCCCACACTAGGGGACCCCTCAGGACATTGGTTGTTAAGTGCCATCAAGTCAGTTCCGTCTAGTAGCAACCCTGTATAGGATTACTGAGGAATGAAAGGTGGGTTTGAACCACTAACCTTGCAGTTAGCAGTCCAGTTCTTATCCCATAGCACCACACCAGGACTCTGGGACAGATGTGTTTCATTAATTGTAACAAAATCCGTATTACCTCAAAGAAGATTTTTGTAATTGTTATTTTCCCCATTTCATTCAAAATGCCTTCCAGAACTGAAAACATAATTTCAACATCCACAGAAAAGCAGAAAACAATCTGGTCTTGAAAGGGTTAAACAATGAAATTATTGTGTGATCCTTGGATTGTATGTCACCTGCATCAGAGACCTGTAACTTGCGCTGGTGGCCCCCACACATCAAAAGAAAGACCATTGCAGTGAAGACAAGGCCTTGACCAGCAGGAAGGGAGCATCACTTGGCTGGGTTCTTAAAGCCCCCCCCCCATCCCCACCCCAGCTGTCTCCTGTGAGCATGCATGGTGCCTCAGCCTCCCTTCCTGATGACTCCACACCACCTGCTGATGTGCTGGGGAACATAGGTAGCTTTCTACTTGTCAAGTCATCCCCAGGCACTCTGGCTTCCATGTTTCGTCTGTGTGCTTTGTCTGTTCTGTTCAGCACCCTTGTATAACCAGGCCCCCCGCCCACCCACCCAGTGTGGTACATCTGAGCCACAATGGTGGGGCCAGCTGCTGACCAGGTCAGTATCTGCCATCCCTCTTCAGATACCCTCCTCTTTTCTGTACACTCCGTCAGTGTGGCTGGCCCCGTGCTTACAGAGACTTATCTGTTCCCCCCACTTGTATTATGGTCACCGGGGCAGAGGTTGGTACTCTCCGGGCATCGAGCATTTGAGAAGGCCTTTGGGGGCCCCCTCCCTACTTCACTGTGGCTTTGCATCATAGCTCTTCTTCCAGATGTGTGGTTCCTCATCTGTGTCTGGCTGATGACGTTTGTCAGCCTCATGGGCTGGGCGGAATCACACAGCAGAGAAGTCTGTTCTGCTGTGCTTACCCTGGGTCTGTTGATTGGGTGTGTTCTGTGGCCTCTGGCCCATTGTCAGAAGTGCCTGTTCCCATTACACACCCAGCTCGTTCTGGTTGATGTGTTACCGACAAAAGGTGCCCTTTGGTTAAAGTATCCTTTATGTACCGTACAAATCACTCCTTCGAAGTGCACGTATCAGTGTTTTTAGTAAATCTGCAGAGTTGTGTGAGCAGCACCATGCATGACCCCTCGTCCCCACAGATCCCTGTGCCCACTCCCAACACCACTAACCTACCTCCTGTCTTTTCTGCACTCACATCCCACTCATCTAGCACAGCCAGGTGAGGTGCTGCTGAACTGCCAAGTTAATTGATGGTTGCTTCCAAATGAGAAAGGATGTCCGGCTTCCAGATGCACTTTCCTTGCTGCGCTGTATTGCTGTGTGGTGTGTGTTTGGGGCCCATACACCAGTGTTTTGTGGAACGTCTGGTTCACACTCATCACTGTTAACACTTTGGAGGACATGGGAGAATCAGGAGTCCTGTCCTCTCTGCTTTGACTGCTGAAATAACAAACTTGAAAAGTGCCTCTGGAGTCCTGGTGTGGTGCTGTAGGATAAGCACTGGACTGCTGATCACAAGGTCCACATTCAAACCCCCTAGCCAATCCTTGGAAAACACATCATGTTTGGCAAAGTAGAGGGTCGGTAAAAAAGAGGAAGACCCCCCCCCAATGAGATGGACTCACAGCAGCAGCAACAATATGACGCCAATTGTGAGGACGGCATAGGACTGGACATGGTTTCATCTGTTGTGCACAGGGTTGCTATGGGTCAGAACAACTCAACAGCACCTAACAACAACATAACCACGTCAGCCCTGGATTGATTTTACTGGACGTCCAAGTATCGAGCACTCTGTACTAGACCCTAATGCCGGCCCCATAGAGCCTGGAGCACCCGTAACAAACAATGTCATGAGAGGTGAAGTGGGTGCACATCCCGGGAAGGATGTTGGGCACTTTGGGGAGGGGAGCAGCTGGTGGCCAATCACATGGTCATGTCACTGCCTTTTAATTTTGCATTCAAGCCTTCTGATGCCTCCAAGGGAAGAGACTTTGTAGGACTTGCTTTTCTCTTCCTTTTAAACAAAGCTAGCCTCCAGATTTTTGCAAGCGAATGTGTCTGGCAGGCTTTTTATCACATTGCTTTCCTTGTATTGGAGTGGGGCCCGATTTGCAGGCACCCCGAAACCTAAATCCATGATACATGGGAGCAGTTAGGAATGTTCATGCAAGGCGTAAGTAGAGTTGGGAAGCTTCTTCTGAGTCTCTTGCAGTAACTTGAGTGTGACGTATTGGCCCTGGGTTTAGGGTAGAGCAGAATGGTGAGAGGGAACAAGTAGACAGAAGCATTGAAAGCGCGTTGGTGTGAGGGGCATGAGAACAGACCCCCAGGCAGTGCCCTTTCTCCTTGACCTCCTATCTCTAGCTCTGACCTTTGGTCTGATGTGGTGACACATTGAAAGGGCTCCGGAGTCTGGTGTTTCACCTTTGAAAGATGTGTTTCCATAGCGGCTATGTATCTCTGTGTTTCTTTCATACTGGGGACAAGCATAGCCCCAAATCGCTGTCCAGTTGAGTGAGTTGGCACATCATTTGGTATTGGGTACCATGATGTTGTTGTTTATCCTACATGAGAAAAGTATATTTCCTTAGTGTGGGTGGAAGCACAGGCTTTAGACCCAGTTGGAACTTCACCCTGGCGCTTCTCTCAGGGAGCTGGGGAGTGTGGGCCCCTCCCAGCGTAATGTACCTGCTCTCTGTTACTGGGAATGCCTGCCCAAGCCCACTGGTGTCTGTTTTTGTGTTGCAGACTTCTGCCACGTTTCGAAAGTGGTGGGGCGATGCCGGGCCGCCTTCCCAAGGTGGTGGTACAACATCACGGACGGGTCTTGCCAGCAGTTTGTGTATGGAGGCTGTGAAGGGAATAACAACAATTACGTAACCAAGGAGATGTGTATGGAAAAATGCGCCGGAGTCAAAGGTAAGACAGTGCACGGTTGGGGGCTTCTACTGATGGTGTTGGAATGCTAGTGTCTTCTACTCCTCAGTGGTTCCTCGCGGCCAAATCTGGGGGGTGGTGTCCAGATTAGAAGACGTGGAGGCTTTTTTTCTCTGGCACACATACCATGACCGGCTCACCCGGTCATGTGGCAGGTTAGGTTCACACTAAAACGTACTTCCTGGAGTCTGTCCTTGTCCCTCCCCACTCAGGGTCTCTCTGGATTGTAGACACTGTTGACATGGGGTGGGGCAATGTGTGGTGAATATTAGTCACACACTTGAAAACGCTTAAAAGGGTAAATTTTTTATTATCTATACAAGGTGGGCTTCAAGGAGTTTGTGGGAAAACTTCCTTCTCTTTTCATGGCATTTATCCACGAAATTTTAGAATCCCCCTCGTATTTGAACCACAATAAAATTTAAGAAAACAAAACCCTGGTCCAAACATTAGGGTACACTAGCTCTCTCCCAAACAGGAGACTTGATGGGTACTTGGAGGCTTTAGCCCTCTGGAATCTGCTCCCAAATGTTCTAGAAGGCCAAGGGTTTGGCCACCCAGGCTGTATTGTAAAGGTTTTCAGTGGCACTGTCTCTGATAGTCACAAGGTCAGTGGTTCAAACCCACCAGACACTCTGGGAGAAAGATGAGGCTGTCTGCTCCCGTAAAGATGTATTGTCATGGTAAGGGTCACTATGAGTTGGAATCACTTGATGGCAGTGATTTCTTGGTGACTCGGCATTGCCACAATGGAACTACGTCATGACTCGGGTCAGAATGTCCTGGGATCATGGCAGACTGAGCCCACACCCAGGGACCCAGCTCCCAGGGCTCACACCCCTGCTGCTCAGGGGCCTTCTCTCTCCTCTCTCCCTGGCGATCGTCTCTCTTGGCTGGAACTAGACACACATCAGGTTAGATTACTAGTGTTGTGTATAAGAGGGGAAAACAACAATGGCCTTGGCTGTGGCACCAAGGTTATAAGACCTGGTGCGTGAGCATGCAGGCCCTGTGCCCGGCAGGTGCTCAGCCAGTGTTTGGAGAGTCACCAAAACCAACCCCTGCCTTCCAGTGATTCCAGTTTTTAGTGACCCCATAGGACACAGCAGACCATTGCGTTTCCAAGATCACACGGAGCTCTGGTAGCGTAGTGGTTACGAATTGGGTTGCTAACCTCAAGGTCGGCAGTTCGAAACTACCAGCTGTTCCGTGGAAGAAAGATGAGGCTTTCTGCTCCTGTAAAGATTTGCAGCCTCGGTAACCCTGTGCTGGGTCACTATAAGTTGGAACCGACTCCACGGTACTTAACAACAACAACAACCACAACATAGCTTTACAAAACAGACAGCCTCATCTTTCTCCCTTGGAGCAGCTGGTGGGTTTGAACCGCAGACCTTTCAGATAGCAGTGGCTGAGTATTGTTTTTGAATGCTCTAGGCCAGTTCTTCACCTCTTAGGGGAGTAACTAGCAACCTTACCCAGTGGTGATTATCAAACATCTCATTTACTGCGTTTAATTTTCTGTTGTCAGCTAAGATTCAAGGGCAGAGGAGTGGAGAGAATGAGGAGCATTGTGAGTGTCTCTTCTCTGCCCGCTCCCGTTACTCCTTGGCTCTTCGAGAAGAGAGCTGACACCATAGGAATACCAGCAGTGGACTGTGGACTTCAAGACAGTTGTCCCATAAGGGATCACTGTGGTTGGGTCTCGCTCGAGGAAGGCAGGCTGGCCTTCTCTCTCTAGGTGATGACTCAGAGACCAGTCCAGCTGCAAGGTCCCAAACATATGTTTGTTGTTGCCCATCGGGGCTCCCTCAGGCGTCTGTGAAGAGACCCAGAGAGCTGGTGGTCCTTGTACCAGAGCCCCTCACCAGCATGTTCTCTCCCCGGCAGCCGGCTCAGTAGAGAGTCAGGTGATCCTGAGCATGAGCACTAATTATTTACAATGAGAACTAGAACTTCCCAGGGGACCGGACACTTAGTCCCAGGCCTGCACCTGTCATAGGCCAGCCTCTCAGCAAAATGACAGGAAGGTTGTTGCAGCGGAGCAGGCAGAGCAGGGCGAGCTGGTTTGGGATGTGGATGTTTACTGGCATCGGGGTGAGCCTCCCACCTGGGCTCTACCTGCTTTCTTGACCACCCAATCTCTTCACCCCACCCTTAACCCTTCCAGTCTCTAGCTGGGTGAACCCCCCTAGCAGGTTGTGTGGCCTTGGTGGTTATTCCGTCTTGGTAGTCACTCAGCAAGTCTGTGCTCCGGTTCGCTGTGGGCTGAGTTCCAGTGGGCTAGTGTGGCCCAGCACGTACCCTGAAGGTCCCACACAAAGAAGAAGTGAAAAGGAAGCTGAACAACTTGCGTGGGAAACAACTGCTCAGGGATGCGGCCCACCGGTGGGTTTGCTTGGCTTCCCCGGGTAATCACGGCGGTACATTGTCTCACTGTGTCTGCTTGTCCCTTTGCAGAGAATGCTGTTCATGTGCTGCTCACCAACAGGAGTGGAGCTGTGTCCTCTGTCCCGAGTGGTAGGTTCTGTCATGGGGGAGCTCCCTGCTGGATACAAGGGATACCCTCCTGGTTCTAGTGGTCTAGGTTACACATAGAGCCCAGCCCGGGAGGTCCTTACATGGGGGAGTTCACGGTGTCCAGCAGACAGGAGGCCTGGGGGAGTCTGGTGCTTCCAATTGCCGGGGGATCGGGGGTTTACTGGTGCCTATGGCTTTGGGTCCCCTGGCCTCTGCCACTGTGCTGTGTCTTCCTCCCACCTGTTTCCCTCCCTCTTTGCTGGCTGTCGTCTTTGCTGTCTCTCTCCCTGTGTCCCCCTGTCCACCGCCCCCAACTTGGGTGCTCGACCTCCAGGCTTGTGTGGGAGCTGGCTTTGTAGTGCTGGCAGCAGCTGCCCATGCCTCCTTTCTGTTTAGAGGAATCGACCCCAGGAGCCTGGGTGAGTGCTCCAGGCGTGCGGAAGGAGCAGCATGCTATTGGTAGCCAGCTCTGCTTTCCCACTGGCTGGTCCCCAGACAGGGGGCTCCGCTGGGCAAGAAGGTGGAGGGAGGGGGGCGTGAGCTGACCGGCCCCACCCTGCCCAAGTCGGCCAGCCATCCCATCCCAGGCGAGTGAGCGTGTCCATTCTGAACTGCCTGGAAGAGCCCAGCTTGGCCAGACCAGGAATCCCATATCACCCAATCCAGCCATTGCTTCGCCTGGACTCACTGTGAACTCGCAGCACTGGAGCCCTGGGGACACAGGGTTTCTATCCTGTTTCTGAAGATGTTACATGTCAGAGAGCATGTAACAGAACTGGTCCCTATCGCTCCAGAAACGTGACTGAAGTCAGTCCTCAGAGTAGCCACGGAGGGGACAGGAGGATAACTCTCCCTCTGGCATTTGTGCACTTTAAGATCAGTTACAACTGGACAGTGACGGCCAAGCTGCCCTGGGAGGGACGTCCTGATCCCTGCGCAAAGATTCCAGAGGGTCCACGCTCAGTGGGCCCTTCTAGACTGGGCCCCAGCTTGGCTGTGTGTCCTGTGTCCGCTCCGGTCTCTCACACAGACTTTTGTGTTTCAGATCTCAGAAGGCAGGATGACCTAGCCAGCAACATCTTCAACTACGAAGGTAAACAGTATGACTGTGTGGGGGTTAAACTGTGTTTCATTAGTTAGTTGGGAATTGAGATACCCCCAGGATTTCCATGAAGTGCATTTCAGAGCAGGGCTTCCTGACCTTTCCCATTGTTGGGGGGCCCAGGCTGTAGGAGGGGTACCAGCATGCAGGCAGGGAATCTTTGCTTTCAGGGGGCCAATGGAATGGACCCTATAGCTCTGTGTCACCAGCTCCACAGCTGCAGGTGATCCCCCAGTGCCTCTGCCTCCGATTTCCTGTGTGTGGAGTGAAGGGCTCACAGAGATGAGACCCTGCGTGTATCACATAGAGTCCAGTGCGTGGCACAGAGCAATCTCCATGCGGTGTGGTCTTGGCTCCAACGAAGATACCTGAGAATGTGGTGGAGAGCGTCAGGTGGGCCAGGCTGGCCATGTCAGGGAGGTCCCCATTTCCTTACCAGAGTGCTGCCTCCCTACCAATCAGTAGCCATATTTCTACCTGGGAGCACCTTGACTTGTATGCACATGCTGACTTGTATGTACCCCTCGGACTGCCTTCCCCCCAGAGTACTGCACTTCCAAGGCGGTCACCGGGCCGTGCCGCGCAGCCTTCCTTCGCTGGTATTTTGATGCTGAGAAGAACGCCTGTGACCACTTCATCTATGGAGGCTGTCATGGTAACAAGAACAACCATCGATCTAAGGAGGAGTGCATGCAGCGCTGCTTTGGTGAGCCGTTAAAATGCAATTGCTGATGGGATACAAAATGGTACAGCCTCGGTGGAAAACAGTTTGTCAGTTCCTCAAAAAGTTGAGCGTAGAACCACCATGATTTCAACTCACAGTGACCCTGTGTAGAGTTTTCCAGGAGTGACTGGTGGGTTTGAACTGTCAACTTCATGGTTGGCAGTCAAGTGCTTATCCTACAGCGCTACAGTAGGACTACCCCATGACTCACCAATCCACTCTAGGTATGTGCCCAAAAGACCTGAATGCATCAATGCAGACAGACACACGGACTGCAATGATTGATGTAACATTTGTCATCTGACCTCTCCCTTCACATGGGGGGAGAGGACTAGCATCAGTCCTCAGAACTGTTTCCTATGGACAGAGGTTAGACATGCCTCCACCTTCCAAACTTTCTCTACCAATTCTGACACCTACTGTTTGTTCCCCCCGCCCCCATTTCTGAATTTTCTTTTTGTCTCTGTGTAACCAACAGCAAGAGAATTTTTTAACGTTTTAACAAATATATTTAAAGGTCACTTAACAATCCTAATGATCTCTTGTCAGGGTTCCACATTGTCCTCCCCAGCGGGAACTCTGTTTACTGTTTGGCCCCTTAGAGAACAAGTGTGCTGGTAAGAAAGCAGCCAGGAGGGGAAGTGGGCCTGTGAGATCATCCAGGGCTTTCCTAGTGTTCACGGATGGAGTGGAGCAACTGTTGGTGAGGTGCCCTGGCAGTGCCGTAGGGAATCTGGGTGCTAGATTAGATGCCATCCTCGTAAGCCTGTGTGATTCAGTGAGGCTGGCAGTACCTGGGAGACCAAGCTGTCTGAGCTGCTGGCTGCTTGTCTCGGCTAAAAGCTCTGATAACTTCAGAACTAGAAAAGCCTGCTTTCCATGACTCACAGAGACTAGTCTGTCTGTCGTCTGTAACAGCTAGTGTTCAGAATGCCTGCCAGGAATTTGTAGCTCCTGTTCCTATTTCTGATAATGTGTGATTTTTAACCACACTGATGCTTTTCCAAGAGAACGTTCGTCTTACTGCCTCCTGGAAGCCGGGCATTCCATTTTCCCTTACGTATGTGCACCCAAATTTGGTTCCTCTTAGCATTTTCCCTTTTATTTTTTCTTCCCTTCCTCTGCAGCGTGAAACATATAGAATGGATTTGATTTCGCACTGGCACATCATGAGCCTACATATTGGGCTTACAGCCAGTTTTTCTTGATTGCTTCCCATGGCTGTTCCAAGACCTGTGTGTCCTTTCGTCTCCTCTTAACAAGACTAGAATTGGCCCGTTTAATGAGTGACTACTGGAATAACTTCTTGACAATGTACCCAGCCAAGTGTTGTCCCTGACCTTAACATTGAGTGTGACTGAAAACAGAGGCCTGGCAAAGGGCCCGGTTTTGGTGAGCCCTTAAATAGTTTTAAAGACCCTGAGGAATATTTGGGATTTTAAGCAACTTCTGTTGTGTTCCCACTGCCTGTTAATTTTCCTCTGAGGCGCCATTCTGTTTGCTGGGTTCACATTATGCTCCTTTTGTTTGTCAAGTCCAGGCTCACTAATCAGTGAGTCCAGATTCTAACCCTGCTATCTGATTAGCTTTAACCACACCAGGCCTCAATATGCGCATTTGTAAAGTGGGCGTGTTCCTACATGACTCACAGTTTTATTGTGGTCATCAGAGATAGTACAATTTATATGCCCGGTACCCTACTTGGTAAAGGCCATAAATGGGGGTGTCAGGATGTAAGTAATGCTTGGATTTGGGGTTCTTTTTTATTTGGACCTGTGAAAATACACTACCTTTTTTTCTTCTTTGTTTTCAGGCAGATCAAAGTCACAGAAGCCATCTTAAATACTAAAGTATTTATAGCTTTCTGTAAAAGCTTTCTGGAGAGCAGTGAGAGAGAAAGAGAAAGTAAATTGGTGCCATCGAGGTGAAGACCATGTCGTGCTTCAGGGCGGCTGAGTGGTCTAAGAAGTAAAGAATATATGGCCTTATGTTTAACCAGGGGCCCCTGCCTCTTGTTAACCAAAAGGCGAAGAGCACACTTGTGTGATATGACTGAGTCTCTCGAGTTTGCACTGCAGATGCTTAAAGGCAATTCTGTTGCTGATTTCCAGTTGCCAACAGGTCAATTCTGACTCCTGGCAACCCCGTATGTATCAGAGTAGGGTTTCCAGGGGCTGAGTTTTCAGACGTAGATCACCAGGTCTTTCTTTTGAGGTACCTCTGTTGTGTTGTTGTAAAGTGCCATCGAGTCGGTTCCAACTCATAGTGACCCCGTATCAGGTTTCCAAAGCTGTAAATCTTTGTGGGAAGAGAAAGCCTTAAGCTTTTCTCTTGTGGAGTGCCTAGTGGGCTTGACCCATCGACCTTGTGGTTTGCAGTTCAGTGCTTATCCTACAGAGCCACCACACTCCTGACCGAGACACCTCTAGATGGACTCAAACCGCCAACCTTTGGCTAGTAATCGAGTGTATTAACTGCTTGGACCAAACTAGCCACTGGAGACCCTGTTGAGCACAGTTCTACGCTGACACACGTGAGGTTACCGTAAGTCAGGATGTACTCCACATTGGTTTTAGTAAAAGCATGAGATAAAACGAGACCTTCGTTTGATGATGAGCTCTCATTCACATCAAAGGAACATGCTTAAATTTTTTATTATTTGGGTCTTGCTTCTGCCAGCCAATCTGCCATTTAGAATTCTTTTACTGTAATCTGAGTAGAAATGAAATTGTTAGGTTATTTCCTTTTTATTTTTTAAATTTTCAAATACTGTTAGTCCACAATGTATGGACATATCCAAGTTAGGACAAACTGCACCTATAAGCATACTTCAGTAATACGTACTACATACAGGACTCCTAAGAGGCTCTGGTAATGTAGTGGTTACCAATCTGGCTGCTAATTTCAAAGTCAGCAGTTCGAAACTACCAGCAGTTCCACAGGAGAAAGATGAGGTTTTCTGCTCCCATAAAGATTTACAGCCTTGGAAACCCTGTACAGGGTCGCTATGAGTCGGAACCAACTCCACGGCAC